CGCATACCTCATCAAATATTCATTTCATAGCGGCTGCTTTCTAAAACTGAACCTGTGCTATGGTGGCATCGTTTTCCTGTAAAACACACACAGCAGCAGCAGCAACATCAGAGGGAACAAGCGTTTTTAGATAACAAGTCCGCCTCTTGACAGCCGTTTTGTTTGAGGGCTGGACTGTGTTTAAAAGCAGAAACGGATACCTGAATGTGCAGCATTAAATATCCAAAGAAAGTATACTGTACTACTTTCATTTTTAATCTGTGCATGCTGCGTTGATAAGGTGTGCTGCAAAAAAAAAAAAATTAAATGAATAATGGAAGATTTTCAATATCTTTTATTCAGTGATTGTGAGGCTAGGCTTTTGATGCTGTCAGGGGAAACTTTAATAGCCTAGAACAGAAGGCAGACAAAGGCCTCGGGCTACGCGGCAGTACAGTACAGCCAAGGCCATTATGAACAACTCACTATATCATGCGAGCAGCCATTTTAAAGTGTTGCCATGCAGGAGGGTTATAATAACAAGATAAGAGAGGGCTGATATGAGCGGGGTGAACGAGGCGAGGGGGATCCGAGTGGGAGCTGGAGCTGAAGATTGAGAGGAAGAATACAGGGACGAATACAGAAGGGAGGGTCAAAAACACTGTAGGGAGCCATGACTGGGGCTAATACAGAAGGCTGCTGCCAGCTGATGTAAGGTGGATCAATGAGCGGGAGGGGGATGAGGGGTGGGGTTAGTAAAAGGATGAAACAGAAGTGGGAAATTCACTTGAAAGCCAGCTACACATGTAAAAACTCAGCAAGGCAGAAAAAAAAGCAGAGGACCAAACAAGAGAAATAAAGCTAGTTAGAAGCTCAGGAATAATGACAACGTGCATACCGAGGCGAAGGCACTGTCGGAGGATGCCTCCTGATGACATGTTTTTCTCAGCTTCTATCTCTGTGAAGTTGAGTGAGCTGGCAAAAATAAGAACATCCACAAGGTTGATGAGGCGCTGCAAGAAGGTGACCGAAGCCTCCACTGACAAGCCATGGGAGGGCTCGATGTTTTCTAGCTCATGCTGAAAGTAGAGAGAGAGAGGGGAAAAAATATATAAATAATAAAAGTAATAATGAGGAAACCTCTAAACATTTTCTCTCAAAAGTAACATTACAGTCAGGTTTTACCCTGGTCAGAAGCCTCGACTTGAATAACCAGTGATCTATCACAGTTAGTAAGTTGTTACATACGTAACGTGAGCAGCACTGAAAATACATCAAGGAATGTGAAAATGCAATTTTTCACATTCAGGTTGAAATCTGGTTACAGAGCCCACGCAACTGAATGTAAATCAATTATAATGGAAGTGAACCCGCTCCTTAGACCGGTCAGGTCATTGGCAGAAGCAAAGAATGGTGCAAGAGAGCGGCTGTCACTGAGGTCAGACAGGACTTAAACAAACTAACGTTGTTAGGAAGCAGCTAACTGTAGTCTAATGTGATTGGGGAAAGGTCAATGTGGATGGATAACTTCCTGTGACCGGAGCCACAGCCATACAAATACAAACGTAAAATCACACGTGCAACGAAAGACTCACGGAGGAAGATGTGGCAGCTGAGAGCAGAGGTAAAATGCCTCCGCAAGCCATGACGAGATTGTCTACCACCTGGGATATGAGGTGTATGCTGTTGTGGACAAACACCACATTCTCGCTGCTGTTTACAAAGTCCAGAATCGTCTTTGTGGAGTGACTAAAAGGCAAAAGACAAGAAGATGGTTTTAGTTATTGCAATGATGTATTAACCTCCTAGGACCTGCCATCCACATATGTGGACATCACATTTTGGGTTATTTAGACCAAAATACTCAATTTTGCTCTACAAGGGCCTGATATCCACTTATGAGGACATTATACTGCTACTGTTCTATCAAAATTTTAAATGAATATCCTCATATGTGGCTCTCATTTTTCTTAAAAACAAAAAATAAATAAATAAATAAATCTGGTAATTCTTTGTTTTTACATTCATCGGGCCCCAATGTGACCAAATATCAAAGAGAAATTAAAAATGCATGTCGTGGAAGAGTTCGGGTCTTAGGAGGTTAAGGCACCTCTAAATTCACCTCAAGTCACACTCACACAGCGTAAAGCTATGTGGCTTGTTCTTCTTTTATTCAGACACTTACTTTAATATCTGGTCCCATTGCACAGTTCTAATGTACTTTTCTAGCTCAAGATCTGTTACAAACCAATTTCGATAAAGAATGACTGAAAAACTCACTTATTTGCTCTACAATTTGATAAGATTACACCATTCTGACAATTACAGATTTAGAGTTACATTGTTTTTAAAAGCCTGCTAACTCGTAATTTTCTGAACAAGACAGTAAACCTATTTTCAAAGTGTAAGGACCAAACTATTTTTTTCACTTTCCAGTCTTTATGCTAAATTGAGTCAATCACAACAAAAAAAATATAAAACATAAAACTTCTGCATGTTCCTCAAAAAATCTTTAGTTGATAAAGCCATATTTCTGTTTATTGAAGCATTAATAAAATCAGAGCCCGCGGACTGTCGTCCTACCTTCTCCACATCTGGACATCTGTCTCAATCGAGAAGAGCAGGTCAGCGAGGAGACGCTGGTGCATGTGGGACCAGCGGAATTCTGGGATGCGAAACATGGTGGAGCGAGGTGCAGGGGTGCTGCTGTCTGTTGGCTGGCCTGAAGAACTTCCTGCGGCTGTTGATGCAGCAGCTGCTGACTGACCTTGGCTTGTTTCCTACAGAAATATGGAAGCCAAACGTCATACGTTTTAATGTGACACGAACCTTTGACAAAACACTTTGAAACTTAAACGCTCAATTTTGTGTAACACCTAAACTATAATAAACTATTGTAACACCTGAGTAACACATAAGTGCTAAAAAAAAAAAAGGGGGTGGATTGCATACTGTTGCAGAGGTCTCCTTCAGTTCAAGTTTCTCGGTGTCTAAGGCCACATTGGACACGTCCAGTCTGGCAATTTTGATTTCTTTGGTTTTGCTGACAGACTCTGCACCCTTCTGAGTGTCGGAGCTGGTAGAGGTGGTGCTACTGTCAGCGGCACCAGATGGGGTTTCTTCTTCAGTGGCACCGCTGGTCTCTGATGACTGGACATCTGCAGTGGAGTCTGATGCCGCTGTAACCTCCTGGGCTGTAGATGGCGGTGTGGTGTCTGAGGGCTGCTGGCTTGTAGTAGTAGTAGTTTCAGCTATGGAGGAAGACTGTTCATCGCCAGCTTTTTCTTTAGGTGCTTCTGTGACACTTTTCTCAGGTATTTCAGCTGGAGAAGTCTGGCTTTCCACACAAGGCGCCTGTTTCACTTCACTTTCCTGTGTCTCAACTTTTTCTTCTTCCTTATTCAGCTCCTGTTCTTCACCCCCATCTTTTCGTTCGTCTTCGTCCTTCTTCACTTCCCCACCTTCCTCTCCGGTGGCAGCAGAAGCATAAGAAGACTCCTCTTGGCTGTCATCAGCATCGCTAGGATGGACCTGGTCGCTAACAGATGACACGTCAGCCAGGTCCTCATTGAGGACGGAAGCCCCACCGAGCACGCTGTTTTCTCGCTCTGAAGCTGCTGGCGGTTCAGCCTCTGCTTCATCTAAAGAGTCTTCTGTCATTGACTTTGACGAGTCACCTTTGTTCTGTTCACTTTCAGATTTTTCATCATCTGTTACAGGTGTCTGTGCATCATCGCTACCAGATGGTGCAGAGACTTTGCCCTCGTCCACCGCTTTTGTGTCAGCCGTTTCATGTTGTGCAGTTTTTCCAGTAGAAGTCTGTGCTTTCTCTTTGTTGACATCTTCACTCGGCTGCTCTGTAGCACCTTTTTGCGTCTCCTCTTTGACACACGAGCTATCTCTGGTAGACTCCTCCACCAGCTGCTGTTGCTCTTGTTCTTCATCTTTGGCCCCGGCCAGGATGTTGGACACAGTGATGGATGCCTGTCCCCTTTCATCATCAACCTCCAGCAGGCTGGAAGTAATGGTGGAACTGGATGCTGAATCAGGGGTTTTCTGGGACAGCTTGTCCACAGTCAGCTCAATGACAGTGGAGGGAGCAGTTTCCTCTGCAGGTGGCCCATTAACACATTCCATAGTCTCAGAGCTTTGGCTGACACCAGAGATGGAGCGAATCGTGCCGGTGGACTCTTGATGCTGGTACTGACGGAACATACGGGACAGATTCTCTTTGTGTTGCTCAAAGGTGACCTGCAAACACAAAACATGTGATGTTAGAAAAACTAATGTCGTACTGTTCACACACTTTATCAGTCTGCTCCGTTTGCCTAGTTTGATGATAAAAACTGGTTTATTGGCTTATTACAGTCATCCACTGATGATTCTGTGTGAATAAGGAAATAAGCAGGCCAATATAACACACACACTAAATGTTTAAAGCAAAATATGTATTAATATGCACATGTCAGTGATGCCATTACTAATAAGAATGATGATGAGCCTATTTAGCACTGAAATTATCCAGTGAGATCTGTTCCTCAATAAGCAACCAAAAACTGCAGATCATCAGATATTCATGTCTAGCTAGCCACAAAGTGAGCCAATCCCCACTCTGCTAAAACAACAACTACTTAGTTTGTCTTGATGCATGGTCAATCATCCAGGTAAGTAAATCTCCAAAGATGGAGAAACCTGCAGTCAGCTGAGACTGAAGAAGTCACTGATGAGTAATGAAACATTTCTCCCACAGAAAACGCTACGTCCAGATGAACAGAATCAACTTTTGGAGAACAACTACTTAAAAAAGTTACTTTACTTTGCACCTCATAGTTATCTCACACACAGCATGGCTTGCACCAAAGTTAACTGTACAAATGAGCCCCATGTAAGAAATGCGCTCCAGTCCAGGTGATTGAAACGGCAGTATTTTATTTGCATCGTACTTCTCACTAATTAGCAGCTAACCTGATATCACTTCCCTTTCACCCAAATATGCTAAATGAACTGGGCCTTATTATATTGCTTTTCTATTCTACTTGAGCACTCAGAGCACTTTATACAACATGTTTCATTCACACACATTCACACAAGCTCTTTTTGTGCATTTAACATTCACACTCAGATGAAGCCATTGGGAGCAAACTGCGGTTCTGTATCTTGCCCAAGGATACTCTGGCATATAGACTGTAGCAGCCAGAGATCAAATCACCGGCCTTCCGATTAGTCGATAAAGTGCTTCTGAGCCACAGCCACACTTTTAGTTACCTAAATTTGGTTGCTTTTAGCCCAAAAACGCCAACACAGCTGCAGCCAAAGTGTTTGGAGACTTCAAATCAGGCATTTTCCATGGATTTAAACTTCTTTTTTTTTCTTTTTTTTTTTAAAGGGAGGGGGGAGATACTTCTGTAAAAGAATTTAGAAACATCTGTCCTATAGGAAATCTAAACATCTCAGTAAGGCTGGAAAAAAGCGTGCTGTAACCGTGAAAATAATGTGACCATGTTATTAGGGCTGTACTTATACTGTATATAAATTAACATAAAAACCATCCAGCTACTTATCCACTGTATCCATTTTCTGCTTTTTTCCTCATGTCCCAACAAACAGCAAACCCCAAATTATGGAAGCACGATATCCTCAAACTGCCTGTTTGTTGTGTGCTTCTTATAATATTTGAAAACTGGGACCATTTGTGGCTAACTGTGGCATATTTAAAACTTTCTCTCTCCCTCTCTTACATGCAGCTGCCCACGGCCTATTAACCTCTATCAGTCTTCTTACCATCTGATATAGGTATACTAGACTGCTAGTCTATAACGACAATAGTCTGCAGTGGCATTTGAGGAAGAGCCCATCCATGTAAGCAGTCATAGATTAGCGGTAGACACTATTAGTGTGTGTCTCCTAGCTGCGCTGAGTGCGTGTCCAGCATCGGCAAATCCTCCCACGCCTAATTTAAGACCCTGCATTAATCACTGGGATTGGAGGACAGAAAGTCAAAGATGGGTTGTAGGTGG